TATAATATATATTATATATATTAAACATTAATCTGTTGATTTTGGAAGCAGGAGTGGCATCCACATAAATGTTGATAGTTATAGAAAGGCTTCAGGCCTTTTGTTCATAGGGTCCCTATGAGTCATGCCCAACTTGAAGGCAATCAACAACAACAATCTGTTTATGGAATGCCTGGGTGGTGGAAACAATTAATGTACTCATTGCTAACTGAAAGGTTCATAGTTCAAGACCACCCACAAACACCTTGAAAGACAATCTTTAATCTACTTCTGACAAATCCACCCCAGCCCCTGAAAGCCCTGTGGAGCACAGTTCACTCTGACACACGTGCAGCATCACGGATGAGAGCTGGCTGGATGGTCAACATCCAGTCGGGCATCTCTGAGCAGACTATGACTCCCCCTTTCCATGAAGGGGTACATGTTGTTGTTGATCCCCGTTGAGTTGAGCATGACTCACAAGGACCCTATGAACAAATGGCCTCAAGCCTTTCTATAACTATCATTGTTTCTCCAAGTTCATGGAGTTTCCAGAGGCATGTTGTTTAGGCAGTGGATGCCACTCCTGCTTCCAAAATACATTAAGTAGAATCAGAGTAAAGAAAATATGGCATTCTTCTATATTTCAGTTAAGAAAAATTAGCCTTGAACTATTGGTGCATTTATTATTATGTTTAATAATCCCAAACAACCACAAGACACCACTTCCAAAAATATGGTACCTAGAAAGTCCAGACCGATTTCTTCCCAGGAAGTTCACATGTTTTTCAGACTGTGAACCAACTTGGAGAGTTTGTTTGTTGACAAACTCCACAAGTTAGCATAGTGTTTCCGTGTTTGCTTTCCAAGGCTGTAAATGGCTCATTAAGGAAATTGTCCGTTTTTCCTTCTGTGGAGCATCTGGTGACTTTGAATCTCATGCCTTTGAGCTGGAAGCACAGCTGTCCGTGTTCACACACACGCACAAGTATAGATGCACACAGATATATGCACATGTATATACCCCTTTGTAAGTGTGATCCTCAAGTGAGAACATGCACTGTATACTAACTACCATTTCATACAACAGAGTTAGGTGGTCATCATCGCCTCTGCTTGGTGTCTGGTGTCTGTCCACTGTCCTTTCCATCCTAAGTCCTTCTAAAGACATGCACTCTTTTAAGACATCCTACTGTATGAAATGGCAGTATACAATGCATGTTCTCACGTGAGGATCATACTTACAAAGGGGTATATACATGTGCATATATCTGTGTGCATCTATACTTGTGCATGTGTGTGAACACGGACAGCTGTGCTTTCAGCTCAAAGGCATGAGATTCAAAGTCACCAGCTGCTCCACAGAAGGAAAAATGGACAACTTCCTTAATGAGCCATTTACAGCCTCAGAAAGCCTATAGGAGTATCAGCTCTTGGTCATTTCTGAGAACCTAGTCAAACCACATTTTCTTTCTAATAGTCTATAATTTAAATGTTAAGTGATCTTCCCTGGACTTGCAATGAATAACATACGTTCCCCACATTTGGTATTGCTCTGGGTGAAACTGGAGCTCTCAACTCTGCTTATTATATGGTCTCCTCTCTTGCTTGCTCTGGGCTGATTTCACTAAAATGACAATTTCCCACGCATACAAGTCACAGTGAAGCCTGGCTTCCCATCAGTAGAAATCAGTTGCAATCTTCTCTCTCCCTAGGAAGCCTACTCTGTAGCAAGACAGTTCAATATGATCCCCCCGGTCTGTGAACAAGCTGAGTACCATCTATTCCAGAGAGAGAAAGTGGAGGTCCAGCTGCCGGAGCTCTACCATAAAATAGGTAATCTTTCAAAGCAAATGTGCTGATTATTTTTAAACATAGGAGGGTCAGTGATTTGGGAAAGAAAGAAATAATGTTGCTGAGATGTTTTCCTGTCTGTAATTAGCATGGGGAGGACTGTGCATTCCAGAGATGGTGAAGGCCACGTAGGTGCCACAGTAAGTCTCCAGGGGAGTCACTGAGGAAAAAGGCAGGCAGAGTTTTAGACTGTGAGTCACAAATAAAGCCACACTCAGGATGTATTCAGCCCGCACATATACAGTGAAGGAAGATCCACAAGCACGCTCACTCTCCAAGGGGTGCTAACTCTAGCTGAGGTGCTAAGTCTGGGCGGATTATGACGGCCTTTTCATAAATATGTATAGATGCCCACAGCTTAGGGAGCCCTGGAAGTGTAGTCTGTACACAGTCGCTCTGCTACCCCAGAGGCTAAACCTCTCCAGCAGTTTAAATTCACCAACAGGACCTCAACATGATAAAGGTAAACAACCAGTTGCAAAATGGGCACAGGGTATGAATAGACACTTCACCAAAGAAGACAAACAAACACATGAAGAAGTGTTCTAAATCCCTAGCTCTAAGAAAGATGCAAATAAAAACAACTATGAGATATCATCTCACTCCAGAAACAATAGCAAAGTTTAACAGAGTAGCAAATAGTAAATGCTGGCAGGGGTGTGGAGAGATTGGAACCCTTACTTCACTGCTAGTCAGAGTGTAAAATGGTGCAACCACTCTGGAAGGCAGTATGGCGCTTTCTCAAAAAGTTGGAAATAGAAAGACCATTTGATCCAGCAATGCCACTACTGGGAATACACCCTAAAGAAACTGGAACTGCCACTCAAACAGATATATGCACACCTATGTTTATTGCTGCACTGTTCACAATAGCAAAGAGATGAGAGCAACCCAAGTGCCCATCAACAAATGAGTGGATAGAAAAACTATGGTTTGGTTATATGATGGAATATTATGCAGCACTGAAAAACAATGAATTCATAAAACATTGCACAGCATGAGTGACCCTGCAGGATATTATGCTGAGTGAAATATCTTAGTCACAAAAGGACAAATACTGCATAGCACCACTGCTGTAAAGCAGGTCTTACAAGAGGGTTTGAGAGGAGAATAGGATAAGAGCGAATAATGAATATTGCACTGGTACAGATGAAGGAAAGAATTGTTTAAAAGGAATGTATGATTGGGCATTATCTGTACAACAACAGCACAGAATAAGAGGTACATCATTGCTAAGAGGACTGGCGGGGGGGAGGCAACTGTTCTACAGTAAATGAATGGTTTTTTTTTAAATGTCAACTGGAAGAGGGAGAAAGGAGAGAGGGAGGGAGGGAGTGAAGAAGATAGGAAAGAGGTAAAAATGTGCAAGAATGAGTGAATGAAAATCTAACTTTCTGTAAATTTTCATAAAAATTACAATTGAAGGGAGCTCTGGTGGCCTAACTGCAAGTAACTGCACTGTAATCCCAGAAGCACGCAGTTTTAATCCATCAGATGCTCTGTTGGAGAAGGAGGGGCAATCTCCTCCTGTACCAGTCAGATCCAATTTGACAGTACACACAAAAATAATAATAAAATTCAAAAAAAAATTTTTAATCACAATTGAAATGTAAACAATTATTTTAAAAAAAATTTCACCAGCAGCTCTGAGGGAAAAAGTTGGGTAGACTTCTCCTGTCTGATTTACAACCTCCTAAAACCTGCTGAGTGTCAGCTGGGAGTCAATTCTGACTCAAGGCGGTGAGGTTTGAGACAGATACGTCTTACATGCTCTAGTGGCCTAGTCCATAAAATGCTGCACTGATAATCCAAAGGCCACACCTCGCTGGTATTTCTAATCCACCAGCATCTCCAAGAGAGAAAGATGGTCAATCTCCTACCATGCAATTCATGTTGATGTTGTTGTTATGTGCCGTCGAGTCGCTTGCGACTCATAGTGACTCTACGTACAAGAGCTCTAAATGCTGTTCTATCCTGTGCCAACCTTGCTGTCTCAAACGCACTTATCCTCACCTCTCCAGTCACAGAATCGATCCATTTCATCAAAGGTCTTCCTCTCCTGCACCATCCCTCCACTCTGCCAAACATGATGTCCCTCTCCAAGGACCAGTCCTTCCTTGCAACATGCCCAAAGTATGTCAGACGAAGCTTCAGAATCCTTAACTCCAGGGAACACTCTGGCTTCACCCTCTCCAGAACAAACCTGTTTGTTCTCCTAGCAGTCCATGGTATATTCAACACTCTTCTCCATAGCTTCAGATAAACTGCTGGAGTCAGTTCTGACTCTGTGACAGAGTATATAAACATATACAGATGTCTCATATATGTGTTTCTACCTAAATATATTTTATAAGGCACTCTGGCGGGCAGCTGGACTCCACCAGCTAATCCCTGGTAAAAATTTGGGCCACCTCCTCCCTAAGTATTTAGAGCCTTGTCTTCCTGTCAAACATTCTTCTAGGTGGTATAGCACTGGTCTGTGCGTTGCTGTACAGAGGTAACTCGTGCTTGCTGTGATGCTGAAGCCTGTGACAGCGATGTGCCAGTCATGGTAATGGGCACCCATGGCGGACAGTGTTGGCTGGAGCTTCCCAACTAAATCAAGCCTGGAAGCAGGAGCGGCATCCACTTCCAAAATGGCTTGCCTCCGGAAACTCTACGTACGAACAGTGCTCAGGCTATTCGTTCATAGGGTCGCTATGAGTCGTCTACGACTCGACGGCATTAAACAACAACAACAAATCTACTGGAGGGTCGCCATGGTCAGAACCCACAAGAACCCGTGTGCTTGCGGTTATGTACTTTATATATGTACACGTACATTATGGTTTGATGGTGATATCCTCACCTTGCATGCAGCCTACCTGGCTTTAATTCCCCGCCAATTTACCTAGAGCACAACCACCCGTCAGTAAAGGTGTGATGCGATAATGCTGAGCAGGAGCCAGGGGCACTTTCAGACCAAAAAGAATAGGAAGAAAGGCCTAGTGATGTCCGTCTGACAGTGAGCCAGTGAGGGTCCCTGGTCAGAGCAGGAGGGTGCCACGTCTGACAAGGAGCCAGTGGGGGTCCCCGGGTCACGGCGGGAGGGTGCCATCATCTTGGGTCACTAGGAATCAGGTGCTGACTTGAAAGTAGCTAAGAGCAACATACGTTGTATTGACACACACGTATATGCATATGGATACGTATATCTCTCTTTCGCCTGTGCCTGGCACTAGGTTATCTACAGAGAATTCAAAACAGCTCACAAGCCAAGCATTACATGATTTCTGGGAAAGCGGAAAGAGCACACACATTCAGGAATTTCGGAAAGTTTGTCAGGAAACGTGATAAGGCCCATTTTCAAGTTTATCAGAAATTTCCAGACATAACTTTCTTCCTAAGCAATAAAAGAGAAGTACTTGTCTCTGAGGATGAAAATAAGACCATAAAAACCAAAACCTAAATGGTGGACGTCAGAAAACCATGGATAAGTCACATTTTCGACCTGCTTATCTGAGACAATTCTAAGAACTTATAAGTCATGTTTAATTGGCTTTTAAGGGATGAAATGAAACGGGTGAACCTTCAAATACTAATGGGAAAATGTGGCTGCTCTTAACTTGTCCATCTGGACACCCTTGTCACCATGACTAATGGAGTCCTGAAGTCCCTGAATGTCACACACACTACTGAACTATTCACAAAAAGGCTAGAGGTTTGGATCCACCCAGAAGCACCGTGAAATAAAGGCCTGGTGACTGAGTTCCACAAAGTGAGCCATTAAAAACCGTGTGGAGCACAGGTCTACTCAGAAACAGGGGGATTGCTGAGGTAGTCGACTCCATGGAAACTGGACCTTTGGCGTTCCTCCCCCGTGCCCCATTGTGGTAAAATATGTAACGAAACATTATCTAAAATTTTTTACATATACAACTTAGTGACATCTATCACATTAATCAATGCAAAACTGTTTGGGTAAATCATAACAAATTGTGGCTAACTTTCCTTTCTATGAAGATGGCGCTGAAAGTGAAAAAGGAAGCCCCTGCCCCTCCCAAAAGTGAAGCCAAAGCAAAGGCATTAAAGGCCAAGAAGGCATCCTGAAGGGCATCCGCAGCCAAAAAAAAAGGAAGACCCACACGTCACTCACCTTCCGGGGGCCTAAGTCGCTGAGACTCCGAAGGCAGCCCAAATACCCCCGGAAGAGCACCCGCAGGAGAAACAAGCTTGACCACTAGGCCATCATCAAATTTCCCCTGACCACTGAGTCAGCCATGAAGAAGATAGAAGATAACAATACACTTGTGTTCATTGTGGATGTCAAGGCCAACAAGCACCAAATTAAACAAGCTGTAAAGAAGCTCTATGACACTGAAGTGGCCAAGGTCAACACTTTGATTAGGCCTGATGGAGAAAAGGCCTATGTTCAACTTGCTCCTGACTATGATGCTTTGGATGTTGCCAACAAAATTGGGATCATCTAAACTGAGTCCAGCAGGCTAATTCTAAATATAAATTTTTCTCACACACAAAAAAATTGTGGTTAACCTTGAGGAAAATGAAAATCCCAGAACACTTGGTTGTACTTATATGAAATCTATACTTGGACTAGGAAGCAGTCCTCAGAACACAGCAGGAAAACACTGCATGGTTCAAAATCAGGAAAGGACTGTGTCAGGGATACATCTTGTTTCCATACCTTTTCAATTTACATGTGGAACAGATCATTTGGAAGACTGGGATCTATGAGGAGGAATGTGGCATCAGCATTGGAGGAAGACTCATCAACAACCTGTGTTTTGCTGACACAACCTTGTTTACTGAAACTGAGGAGGACCTGAAGCATTTTTTGCAGAGGGTCAAGGATTGTCATCTACTGTATGGACAGAAGCTCAATATCAAGAAAACAAAGATTCTCAACACTGGGCCAACCGGCAGCACCATGATGGATGGAGAAGAGGCTGAGGTTCTTAACAGTTTCGGCTTGCTTGGTTCCACAATCAACACTCTTGGCACCATCAATAGGAAATCAAAAGATTAATTGTATTGGTAAAATCTGCTGTTGGAACCTCTCCAGAATTCTGAACAGCAAGTCTAAAGACTTAGTCTGAAGACTAATGTGTGGCTAATCCATGGCCTTTGCAATTACTTGCTGTGCATCAAAGAGCTGGACAATAACTAAGGATGAGAGATGTCTTTGAGTTGTGGTGCTGGAGAAGAGAACTGAACATAACATGGACTGTCAAGAGAAACAGAAAGTCTGACCTGGAGAGAGTAAAGCCAAGCTGCTCATTGGAGGCAAGGATTTTTGAAGCTCCATCTCACATAATTTGGTCACATTATCAGGAGGGAACAGTTTTTATAGAAGGACATCATGCTTGGAAGGGTGGAGGGACAACAAAGGAGAGGAAGGCCACAGATAAGATAGATTGACACAGTAACTGGGGTAATGCGGATAGGTGTGTCAGAGACTGGGAAATTGGCTGAGGATAGAGTAGGGTTCAGAGCTATTGTGCAAAAGGGTCACTGAGTCATGGTCAACTCAATGGCACATAACAACATCACATTAACCACGTTGTACAACCATCACCAGCCAGCCAGTGGTTTTACCAATTCCTACTTAAAATACTCCCAATCTTTTAACATTTTTTTATTATGATTGTGTGAAAGTTTACAAAGTGTATTATGAGATATTTTCCAGTCACTGGTTCACGCATATTTGGTTTCATAACATTAGTTACTATATACACAGTGTCTGATCATCTGTCCTTCATTCCACAATGCCTTTCCCTTCACTCATTCCAACAAGGTAGTGTTCATTATTCACCCATTAATTTTCTATTGGTTCTCTCTGTATGAAAACCTTTCTCTAGTCATTTGTAACAATGGTCTTATACTGCGTTTGTCCTTCTGTGACTGACTTATTTCACTCGGCATGAAGAAGTACTCTAGAATAATCTATGTTATGTAATGTTTTGTAAATTCGTCATTGCTTTTCAGTGCTGTATAGTAGTACTCCACTATGTGAGTGCATCATCGTTTCTCAATCTAGTTGTTCCCTGATGGACACTTGAGTTGTTGTCATTTCCTTGTTTCTACAAGCAACTTCTTAATGTTTTTTCTTCTTCTTCTGTAGGTGTTGGAGCAATGACCTGGTCTCCACTTGCCTGTGGAATCATTTCAGGGAAATATGGAAATGGGGTGCCTGAAAGTTCCAGGGCTTCTCTGAAGGTATTTTCTTCAACCTCTAGTCTGGGAGTAAGGGGGCCTGCTGGGGCGGGGGAAGTAGGGAGATTGATTAAAACAGCTCGCAAACTATCTTTGGCTCCCTGGCTCAGACCTAAGTGCGAGCCTGGCCTGGCCACTGTCCTGAGGTGACAGCCTTAGCCCCGTGGTGGGCTCTGCTCCTAACCTGATAGAAATCAAAGTTTATAAATAATCTGTCATCTCGCATACTATGGTCACAAAGTCTGGAAGGGCCAGATCTTGAAAAAGACATCATAGTGGGAAATGGGGGGGGGGGGCAGAGAAAGAGAGGAAGACCAGCCAGATGAATTGACACAGTGTCTGTATCAATGGGCTCAGCCTGGCAGAGATCGGAGGGAGGGTCAGACAGGACAGGGCAGGGTTCACAGGGCCGCTATGAGCTCAGTCAACTCCGCAGCCCCTCCCATAGCATACTCGGCCAGCACAGAAAATGAATCTCTGCTGGGGACCGGGAGAGAGTGCTGCATGGCCCTGGCGGAACGTGCAAGGCTCAGATCCTCATCTGTTATTTATGCTAAAGAAAGCATTTTGTTCCTTTCTTCAAATTGATAACATTTTAAGCAAAAGATTTAAGTAAACTGATTGCAAGCAATAAATGCTCACATCTGCTACCCAAAGAGTGGTGGTTGAAGTCCAACCCAGAGATGCCTCAGAAGAAGAGGGAGTGTGATGACCTACTTCCAAAACCACCAGCCACGGACGACTCTGCCAAGAACAGCTCTGCTCTGGTGCTGTGTCTCCTTGAGTTGGCATCAACTTGCAGGCAACTCAGAGTGGTGGTTTCTGTGTAAAACCCCTTGGTTTTCCTTCTCTGCACAAGCAGCCTATTCGAGTAACCCATCGAGTGAGCACTAACATAGCTGGGGGTGCACTGAGGCTGGGGCTGGTGGTGGACGGGCGGTGGTCCTGGCACAGGAAGCAGATAAAAAGCAACCCCTCTGTCACTTCAGCTTGCTTGGTGGTAGGAATTTTTAGAACTCAGCTCTGACAGCTGAGACTTGCAGCTTCAGTTCTGTTCTGAAGCATAAAGATATCCAAGATGATTGACAGAAAATCACCTTTCCCCCCCCCCTGTATATTTTGATGCTTCATTTATTGGAAAGTGCACCAAACATTTCACCTTATTAATAACAACATGTCTGTTTTTACATGTGTAATAACATTAGAATCACAAATCCCTCTGAAATGTCAAGGGAGAGAAACTATAGACATTTTAAAGATTCGGGCGAGCCAAAACCCCAGCAGCAGCAACAGCAGCAGCACTGGACTGAAACAGCTTCAGCACTAAGTTAACAGAACGGTTCATGTAAAGCTAGAACCAAGCCCTCACACCAAACTCAGTGCCATCTGGTTAGTTCTGACCCATAGCAGCCAGACAGGACCACTTAGAACAGTCCAGGAGTCTCCCAAGGCCTCATTGTTACAGCGTGAGGTCTGGTGGCACCAACCACAGGAAGCACAGACCCACAGACTTTGCCTCTCTAGTGGTTCAAATACACCAAGGGCTCCATGGGAGAAAGATAGGTAATCTTCCTCACTCCATTTACAGACTTGGAAATGCAGTGAGCTGAGGGCCAGGCTGGGAGGATGTCACCTCTGGGTCTCTTCCACTCAGTGGCAATGGGTTGAGCTGAGTATTTATGGAAGTGGGCTGCTCAGGATAGGACGGCCTTCAGAACTACTGTCCACTGATCGCTATGAGTCACAGGGGATCCAATGCTTCTTTTCTTTCCTGTAGAGCCACTGGTGAGTTCAAGCAATTAACTTCACACTGGGCAGCTGAAGACTTAACTACTGCACTGGTGGGCCTCCATAAGCCTGGACATCAACCCTTGCCTCGCGTGACCGTGACCACGTGTGCCTCCCTCATCTAGACCTTGAACTATCCTTTCGGTCACTAATACCTTAGATACTAACTTGTCCTCTGCAGTGCAACAGGCTCCCTCTCCCACTGCCTTCAACTGGGGCCTGACTGTGGGCTGAACGTCCATCGGGTTTCCAAGGCTGTAAATTGCACGTGAGGAGAGGCTGTTGGTGGATGTGAACCACTAGAGAGATGTGGCCTTTGCATTAGCCGCTCAACTCGCTCTGGACTCCGCTACTTTCTAAAACATGTGGACATGGCCCAGTTTTGTAGTATCACAAAAAAATAGTTAGAATGTTAAATAAGTTGTCGCTCCTGAGAATCAAAGATTGTTCAGAACTAAATCGAGACAAAGAAAAACTACAAACATCTTCAGAAAGAAGGCACAAACGGAGCAAGGCAAGAAAGGAGTGTAGAAAGATGGATAGAGGAGGGAAGCACTGATTACGATGTCACTCAGGGCTGATGTCCAGAGCACCGGGCTACATGGGCTCATTCCTTTCCCTTTATCCTCTCAAAGACAGAAGGACACAGTGTTTAGTCTGTTATAGTTTAAGATGGTATTTCTTCTGAGACTTTCTGAAAATTCTAAGTACTCTGCTGTATCAGTTCTGAGAATGACTCTATGTGAGGATAACTTTTCCCAGATGTGAAAATAAAGAGGTCAGGTGGCAATCCAAGAGTACACACTCACAATAAATAAAGTTTACTTAGATCCCTGTGAGAACCCCGGCCTCCTGGCTGGCCATTTAATTATCTACCCCAAAGTTATCTTTGTTATCCTCCAAGCCAAGGATTTTAAAAAGTACCTACGATGCATTTGGTGTGACTTCTAGTTCTACTAAGAAAAAGCTTGCAAAGAGCTGTCAACAGCTTCAGGAATGACTAACAAAAAGAGAAAGAAAGAAAGACAGACAAGCAGATGAAATATTTGAACTAACAGCCAAAAAAGCAGCTCAGGAGATATTTCTATTGTTGATTTTCATAATATTAATTTGCCATCTATTGAAACATCCTTAACAATACATATTAAAAGCATATTAACAATACATACTGACAGGTGAAAAGCAGCCAATCACAAAGCAGGCATCTCAAAAGCTTTGCAGACTCTCAGGGCTTCCTAGTTATTAACCTGTGTGTTTTCTGGAGTAATCCATATGTGCACATGGGAAAGGTACCAGAGTAGAATAACTAAAGCCAAAAATATTGAAGCAAATATCAAGGCAATCTTACCAATGAAGGAAAATGCTAATGCTAATAATAATAATATAAAAATGAAAAATCAATACCCAGGCAAATAAATTAGAATGGTTAAAGATGAAAACCAAATAAAGAAGGCAACTAGAAAATCAGGCAAAATATAAAGAAAAATCCTTACTAATTGCTGGTACAAATGCAAAACAGCACAGCCACCATGGAAGCAGTGAGCTGGGCGATTCCTCAAACACTGGAGCTAAAATCACACACAATCTAGCAATTCCACTCCTAGGGAGAATCCGAAAGATTTGAAAGCAAGGACTCAAACAGAGACTTGCATGTCAATGTCCACTACAACTCCTAATAGTCAAAGCCTTAAACGAGGAATAACTCATTGTATCTTAAAACTGAATAATAGTTTGGCCTTTTCTTTCTGTTATGTGCTATCAAGTCACTTGCCACTCATAGCAACCTTACGAACAATAGCCCTGAAACCTGCTCTATGCTGTGCCAATCTTATTGTCTCTGACACACCTACCCTCATTAACTCAGTCACTGAATCAATCCATCTCAGCAAGGATCTTCCTCTATTGAACTATACCTCCACCTTTCTAAGCATCATGTTCTTCCTCCAGGAACTGGTCCCTCCCTGCACCATGCCCCAAGTATGTCAGATGAAGCCTCAGAATTCTTGCCTGCAAGGAATAGCCTGATTTCACCCTTTCCAGGATGAACCTTTTTGTTCTCCTGGCAGTCCGTGGTATATTCAATATTCTTCTCTGGCACCACACTCAAAGGTATCAATTCTCTTACTATCATCCCTAGTCATTGACCAACTTTCTGACGCACAGCAAGTAATTGTGAAGACTATGGCCTGGATCAGGCACACCTTAGTCTCCAGACTGACCTCATTGCTCTTCAGTACTCTGGAGAGGTCTCTGACAGCAGACTTTCCCAATGCCAATGCAATTCATTGTTTTTTATTAACTAATAGAAAAAGCTCTGCTTTAAGCATTATAAGAACTATATAGGATCAAATTGATAATAGCAGCTGCTAAGATTAGACCAGAATTGTCAGGAAGCAGTGAGTTTACGTTAGTGAGGTAGAACATCTCAGTACAGGAGGGGAGGAGGATGCACAACTGGAAGGGTGTAGTCAGCGCCCCCGAACGTGCGTGCAGAAACTGCTGGATTGGCATGGCATTGCAGTACATATTCTCAACAACACAATAAATCAACTTTAGAGGGGAAAAAATAATAAATCAATATAAACATTATCAATCTACTTCTCCAAGCGGTAGTGTGGTTCATGGTCCTGGGGTGGGAGAAAGGGACACATAAATGAATCTTTGATGTTACTCTCAGAGATCTTTCTCAAGAGAAGCTGTGTGTATATGTGTGTATATACACATATAAAATGTGTCATTCAATCCTAAAAATCACATTGCACTAACTTTAAATGACCCAAGATTTTTAAAATGAAGATATTTCATAAGATTCATGGGTAAGTTAATAAACCAGGTGCTCTTTATGTGTTGATACGTACTGAGATTGAGCCCTGGTTCTCGCTGGGAGAATCTCCACCTTCCGTGAAGCGGCCGTGGATCCCACCCTGATCGGTACACCTCATCCAGCCAGCACCGCCTGTCAGTAGAAGCGTGCATGTTCCTGTGATCTGCTGGAGTTTTCCTTGGGGCTCTCATGCTAAGGAAAGCCTTCCTCCTTCATCTACTTCTGAAAAACCAGCCGAGGCAAACCCTGATCAGACCACAAGAATGTGATCTGCAATCAGTCACGGGTGTCTTAACTTGAATTCCCTAGAGAGACTAAACCAGGGAAGCATATAGGTAAACGTGTTGCTGTTGTTAGGTGTCATCAAGTCCACTACAACTCACAGTGACTCTATGAACAATGGAAGCTTACCCTAGCCTATGTCAGCCATTGTTGTTGTTATGTGCCGTCGAGTTGCCTGTGACTCATAGCTGCTTATAGTACAACAGCTCTGAAGCCTGCCCAGTCCAGATCCAGTCTCACTGAATCTGACACACCCACCCTCATTACGCCAGTTACTGAGTTAATCCATCTCATCTGGGGTCTTCCTCTCCTGCGCTGTCCCTTCCAAGAATGATGTCCTTCTCCAGTGACCAATCCCTCCTGGCCGTGTGCCCAAAGTATGGGAGACAGAGCTTCAAAATCCTAGCCTCCAAGAAGAAACTTGCTTTCACCCTCTCCAAGACAGACCTATTCATTTTCTTGGTGATCCGTGGAATGTTCAATTCACTTCTCCAGCACCACAAGTTGGAGTCATCATTTCTTCTTCAGTCATCCTTAATCACTGTCCATTTCTCTGATACATAGCAAGTAATTGTGCAGACCATGCCTACATCAGGTGCACCTCAGTCTCCAGACTGACATCACTACTTTTCAATACTCTGGAAAGGTCCCTGAACAGCGAGTCTACCTAATGCAATTTGTCTTTTGATTTCCTGACTGCTGGTGCTAAGAGTGTTGATTGTGGAGCCAAGCAAGCTGTAACTGTTAACCTCAATCTCTTCTCTATCGTGTGTCATCCTATAGATATGTAAAAAGAGAAATGTTCAGGGAGCTCTGGTGGCCTAGTGGCAAGAAGCTGTGCTGCAATACTGAAGGTGCTTGGTTCGAATCCACCAGATGCTCTCCTGGAGAAGGAGGGACAATCTCCTCCTGTACCAGTCAAATTTGATTTGACAGTACACACACACAAAAGAAATAATAATAAAATAAAAAAGAATCATATTTTAAAAGAGAAAGAAATATTCTTCAAGAAACGGCTCACGTACTGTGCGGGGATTGAGAAGTCCTAATTCGATGGATCAGAGAACAGGATAAAGACCTTCTCTGGCTCACGTGGGTAAGAACTGATGCGCCCAAAAGCTGCAGTTCACGGACAGCCTGGAGGCCTCTGTCAGTCCCAAGAACTGGAGGTCAGATAGGAAGATTGAAAGGTTGACAGGCAGTGAGAGAGAGGATAAGCTTTCCCACAATATCCATTTATATACTAGATGTAGGCCATCCCCCCAGCGCAATTCCCCTCCCAACTGCTTGATTGCTCATATCAGACCATGCAGTGAAAGATCAGCCAAACCACTGAGAATCCCAGCCTGGCCAAGTGGACACAGAGTAGCAGTCAGTGCACCGTGGAGGCCAGTGCAGGAGTGGACGGAGCCCCGTGCAGTGTGTGTGGACAAGGGCCAACTCTGCAGCACGTTACAGCCTGGACTGGAACCGCAGGGATTCTCCAAGTTATAACAAAAAGCAGTTGGCTCAAAAAGTGTTTGGCTACTCCTTTTCCCTTCTGAATTACAGAGATGTTGATCCCCTGAAGGAGATTACAGAATTTGGGTGAGATTTGCGGGATGTTTTTCTCATTTAGGGCAGCAGAAGAAAGTCCGAGGACTCTCTGACCCAGCCTGGTGTGGGCAGGGGTCACAGCGTTCAGCGTTCGTAACTGTCCGTGTTGTCATCCTGGAGAGATGCCCCAGGCTCCCTTCGACCTGGGAGAAGCCAACGTTTCCTGTAGCTGAAGCTGCACAAATGCTGAGCCAACTGCCCTTCCTCCCCTGCAAGTTCTCAAGCAAAAAGCCAAACCAAAGGCCTTTGAGATCCAGGAAGCAAACAGAACGAAGCCAACGTGCCCCAAGTCCTTCCAAGACTCATACAAAACATAACTTTGCTCTGGCGAGACTATTTTGGAATGACAGAAGAAAGTGCTTCAATTTTTTTAATTTTATTTTATTAATTTTAATGAATATTTACAGAGATTTTGGATTTCCATTCATTCATTGTTGCACTTTTCTCCCTGCCCACCCCTCCCGCCAGTTCGCTCCTCTCTTTGAAAAGTAAAAGAAAAATTCCTTCATTGGTATACAATCCCCTACCCTCCACCCCCCCCTCGAGTACACTCCAATATGCAACCTTCATTCTGGACTTTTGTGATAACTATAATACCGACTCATTTATCGCTTTTAAACTGTTTTCTCCCTCATCTGTTTCAAAGCAGTATACATAACTTATCCATTTTTTTCTCAGTCTTACCCCAACCCTGATGTCAGTCCCATTCTACAACAGTGGCACCATGCAGTATTTGTCTTTTTGTGACTGTCATATTTCACTCAGCATAATGTCCTCCAGGGTCATCCATTTTGTATAGTATTTCATGAGTTCCTAGTTTTTCAATGCAGCATAGTATTCCATTGTGTGAATATACCACAGCTTCTCTAGCCATTCGTTTGTTGATGGGCACTTGGGTTGTTTCCTTGCTATTGTGAACAAAGCCATGATAAACATGGGTGTGCATATATCTGCTTGGATGTCAGTTATGGTCTCTTTGGGGTATATTCCCAGTAGTGGAATTGCTGGGTCAAATGGCATTTCTATTTGCAACTTTTTGAGGAAGCGCCACACCACTTTCCACAGTGGTGCACCGTTTTACACTTCCATCGACAGCGAATAAGGGTTCCAGTTTCTCCACAACCTCGCCAGCATTTGTTGTTTGCTGTTCTGTTAAATTTTGCTATTCTGACTGGGGTGAGATTACATCTCATAGTTGTTTTGATTTGCATCTCTCTCTCTTAGAGGTAAGGATTTTGAACATTTCTTCACGTGCTTGTTAGCCATCTGAATGTCTTTTTTTGGTGAAGTGTCTGTTCATATCCTTTGACCATTTTTCAATTGGATTATTTACCTTTATCTTGTTGTGGTGAAGAAAGTACTTTAAAAACAAAAGCCAGTGGCCTGGTGAACCAGTGTTGGGGGTGGAGTCCTTGACACCATAGCAACTGCAGGGCTTTCTGTTTCCTTTGAGAAGGTAAAGGATGAAGGTGGTCACTAAGTCCCAAATCCACTCACTAAAGAAAGCCACAAAGCCACACAGCAGTGGGGGGGGTGGTGGTGGTGTGTTTATTGTTTTCATTAAAACAGATTAAGGAAGTCTGACAAATACTCTTTTCCTCTGGGCATTGTGCTGTATTCGTGTGGCAGAGTCTATTGTTCCCTGGATGTCACAGTCAGCACAGAGGCTTCTGGAATGTGGGGCATTGTGGAGTTCTGGGAGATTTTTCTCTTTATATTTAGGAAATTAGTCTCACTTTATAGGGTATAGATTAGGGTCATTGTCTTCTAGGTCCTAAAGAAGAGTTCTCTGCCTGGAACGTCCTTAATCTTCTGAAGCTTTTACTATGTAGAGGTGGTACACATTTGGAGAAAGCTTTACCCACTTTAGCATGTGAAAACTTGGTACTTGTCAGCTGTATCTAGTCAATTTTGTATGAAGTAGCTGAGAAAACTAACAATAGAGCTCTATTAAAAGAATAGGAGCTGTTTAGTGCCGTGGAGTTGTAGACAACTCAAAGCAACCCTATGAACAAAAGACCTGAATATTTGTATAACTTTCATCATTTCTTCAAGTTCATAGGGTTTCTGGAGTCAAGCTATTTCAGAAGTGGATGTCACTCCTGCTTCCAAGCTTGTTTTAATCGGGGAGCTCCACCAAACACTGTCCACCATGGGTGACCATTACCACATTTGACACATCAGTGTCACAGTGTTTAGTAAAAGAATAGGAGAGCAGGAATGAATTAAAGGCAAAGGGAAAATGATGATTATAACCAGAATGGAAGACAACAGCTTCCTTTGAACATGGTGCTCTGCTTCCTTGACAAGAAGGAAACATGTTTTGTTATGTGCCATCAAGTCACTTGCGACTCATAGCGACCATGTGTACAAGAGCCCTAAACACCATTCTATCCTGTGCCAACCTCGCTGTCTCAAACACACTCATTCCCACCACTTCAGTCACAGAACTGATCCATCTCATCAAAGGTCTTCCTCTCCTGCGCCGTCCCTCCACTCTCCCAAACATGATGTCCCTCTCCAAGGACCAGTCCCTCCTTGCAACATGCCCAAACGGGTGGAATATAAATGCATTTTGAGCTATCTCAGTAGGAAACTTTTTCTCTACTTACCAGACTAATTGACAGGGTTTTAACTTGTGTGCATATTGAAGGGTTGAAGTAGTGACTATTCGTCCAAATCAATCCGTTTTGAGCCAATAAACAACAAAATGTGGGGAACCCTGCTTTGTGTGAAGATAACAGGAACTCTGGTCATGGGGAAATAAATAGGGCAAAGAGAAGACTCAGAAACGTACCAGGGGTTCTTCTCCACTATTGAACTTAGTGTCTTTTGAGAATAAAACTCTCCAAAATAGTAACTTTCAATATCATCCTTACTCCTAGTGCTACCAGTGGTTGAAGGAAAGAATTGTAAGCGAAGAAGGGAGGAAACAGCAGAACAAGCTCAAAGATCTTTCCCCAATTGCTGAGCGTCTGGGATGTACGCTACCTCAGCTGGCTGTGGGTAAGAACAGTACCGTGTGTGTGTGTGTGTGTGTGTGTGTGTGTGTGTGTGTGAAAGTCTCTGCCGATATCACAAAATTTGTTGATAGGGCAGCAGTGGTTCAGTGTTAAAATTCTTACCCTCCATCCAGAGACCGGGGTTTGATTCCAGCGAGTATATCTCATGTACAGACTCCCTTCTGTCAGCGGAGGTCTGTGTGTTGATATGATATTAATTAGATGTCAGTGGTGTTTATAGATGATGAAGAAGAATTGGGGAAAGAGACCTGGAGAGCTACTTTTTTTAAAAATTAATTTTAATGAAAGTTTACAGAGACTTAGGGTTTCCAGTCATTCATTGTTGCACTTTTCTCGCTGCCCAACCCCTACCCCCCAATTCACTCTTCTCCTTGAAAAGGAAAACTCTTTCATTGTTATGCAACCCCTCCCCCCAAGTCCACTCCACTGTGCAGTCTTCACTCTGGACTTCTGAAATGACAAGAACACCCATTCATATGTCCCTTTAAACAGTTCTCTCCCTCATCTGTTTCAATGCAATATATATCATTGCTCCCCTCCTTTTCTGTCTTCCCTCAACCCTGATGTCAGTCCCGTTTTACAACAGTGGCCCTATGCAATATTTGTCCCTGGAGGACATTATGCTGAGTGAAATAGATCAGTCACAAGGGAGCTACTTTAAAAACACCAAACATTAAAATTATGGATTGAGGAAGTCTGACCCCATTGAACATGGAGTTGCTCTATAGGAAATCAACCCATCATCATCTATCAATGTCATTGATTTATAAACCTGTCGATGGAGATGGACTGACACTGTGACTTCAGCAATGGGTTCCCGGTTCTCAGAGATGATGAGGATGGCAAAGGATGGGGCCGAGTTCAGGCTGGCTGTTCATAGGGTCACTATGAGTCACAGTTGACTTGACAGCATCTAACAACAACAACATATGATAATGTCTATTGTGTGGGTTGACTGATCTCTGGACACAAACTGGTTAAGATCATATCATGTGAGGTTTCCAGGGTTTCCCGTGATTTTCCACACACTAAGATCATTTTCTTACTTTCATCCGCTCCTTCACACCAACATTCCTCCCAGACAGAACTTGTCGGTGATGGGCATCTCCTCACAGAGCCAGTGAACATGCTCCTGAACTGCCAGGCCCAGCCATTCCTCTTAGCTCATGTTTCCACCCTTTTGAACCTAAGCCAATAGGACTGTGACAGAGGTACAAGTCCATCCTCCAGGGGAAACGCCGCTTTGAGACTTCCTAAGGGACCATGAGACTCTCTTCTGATGTTGTGGAGTCGCTGAAGGGCTGGGGACACTGGTGGACATTAGAACCTTCACACAACCAACCCTGCCCGGTGAAAACATCATGGGAGCCACATACAAGGTGTCCTTCTGGGAGACACCCTAAAGGAAGTAAAAAGGAAACAGTGAAATGAGTTTTAGTAATTTATTTAACCCAAGTCATTCCGAATATTTTTTTAATTTAAATTTATTATTAATTTCAGTAAAAATTTACAGAGACGTCAGATTTCCATTCATTCATTGTTGCACTTTTATCCCCTCCCAACCCTCAACCCCTAGTACACTACCCTCTTGGAAAAGTAAAAGAAAAATTCTTTCATTGTTTTACAAACCCTCCCCCAGGTCCACTCCACCATGTAGCCTTAGCTCTA